AAAAGCATTAAGGTTTGATAGAGGAGGTGAGTTCACTTCAAAAGAATTTAATGACTTTTGTCAATCTCATGGAATTCGTCGCCCTCTAACGGTACCTTACTCGCCCCAACAAAATGGAGTTGCAGAAAGAAAGAATAGAACAATTCTTAATATGGCTAGATGTATGTTGAAAGCGAAACATCTACCAAAAGAATTTTGAGCCGAGGCTGTTTCTTTTTCAATTTATTTGAGCAATAGGTCTCCGACAAAAAATGTAAGAGATCAAACACCTGAATAAGCATGGAGCGGAAGAAAGCCAATTGTTAAGCACTTGAGAATCTTTGAGAGCATAGCCTATGCTCATGTTCCACATCAAGGGACAATTAAACTTGACTATTGGAGTGTCAACTATGTGTTTATTGGCTATGACGCAAGTTCAGAAGGCTACAATTTGTACAATACAAGCAATAAAAAGTTGGTGGTGAGTCGTGATGTTGAATTTGATGAACAAGCATAATGGAACTTGGAGGATCTGGAAGAAAAAAATATGATTTTCTTCTATACTTCGAAGATGGAGAAGAACAAGAGACCATGGCACCTGCAAAGGATACAACCCCGCTTCCTTCACCAGCAAATGTTGCATCTCCATCTTCATAAGAGATTTCAAGTGAAAGACCACATAGGATAAGGAGCATTCAAGAACTCTATGATGACTCAGAAGAAATTACTAATTTTGATTTTTTTGTGTTCTCTCTTTGCTGATAGTGAACCAATGAATTTTGATGAAGTTATTACTAACAAAAGGTGGAGACAAGGGATCGAGGAGAAGATCCAGTCAATAGAAATGAACAACACTTGGGAGCTAACAATTCCTCCCAAGGACCATTGAGAAATTGGAGTCAAATAGGTATACAAGACGAAGAAAAGTGCCCATGGAGAAGTAGAAAGACACAAGGCAAGACTTGTGGATAAAGTCTACAAACAAAGGCATGGCATTGACTATGAGGAAGTCTATGCACCTGTTACCTACATGGAGACAATCCGTCTATTGTTCTATTTAGCGGCGCAAATAAAGTGGAAGACCCATCAACTAGATGCCAAATCGGTATTGTTAAATGGATATCTTGTAGAAGAAATTTATGTTGAGCAACCATTGGGTTTTGTGGTTAAAAATCATGAAGATAAGGTGATGAGGTTGAAGAAAGACTTATATGGGATGAAGCAAGCTCGACGAGCTTAGAATAGTTGCATTGACAATTACTTTCAAGACAACGGGTTAACTCGTTGTCTCCATGAATATGCTCTTTACATTAAAGTTCATACTAATAGAGATATTCTTCTTTTTTTTATTTATGTTGATCATCTCAGTCTAACGGGTAACAACACAGTTTTGTTTGAAGCTTTCAAGAAAAGTATGTCCCTTGAGTTTAAGATGACGGAAATAGGGCTCATTTCCTATTACTTAGGCTTAGAAGTGAAGAAAATGGAGGAAGGCCTCTTCATATCTCAAGAAATTTGTACAAAGGAGATTTTGAAGAAGTTCAACATGTTTTATTGCAACCCTGTGAACACCCTAATGAAAAGTGGAACAAAATTGTCAAAGTTTGACAATGGAGAAAAATTTGATTCAACTTTGTTCAAAAGTCTCATTGGAAGTCTGAGGTACTTGACATGTACGAGAACATATATAATCTTTGCAGTTGGAGTAGTAAGTCGCTTCATGGAAGCTCCTACCTCCACTCACTTGAAGGTCGCTAAAAGAATTATTCGCTACCTAAAAGGTATAATCGACCTTGGACTATTTTATTCTTCTTCTGACAATTTTAATCTTATGGGATATTGTGTTAGTGACTATGCGGTAGATGTTGATGATAGAAAAAGCACATCAGGTTTTGTGTTTTCTTAGGTTATTATGTTATTTCTTGGAGTTAAAAGAAACAATCAATTGTTACTCTCTCGACTTGCGAAGCTAAATATGTGGCAGCGACATCATATACCTGTCATGCTATTTGGTTGAGAAGATTGTTGAAGGAACTCCATTTGCCATAAATTGAAGCCACAATGATTTGTGTTGATAAT